GAGAGTTAGGGCCTTGCTCTGGATTAGGCTTTGGCTTAAGGGAATGTTGTGGCTGATTTGATCTTCTATCCAGACCACTAAAACTTTCTCCATATCAGCAATAAGGCTGTTTCGCTTTCTTATCATTCGTGTGTTCAGTGGAGTAGCACTTTTAATTTCCTTCAAGAACTTTTCCTTTGCATTCACAACTTGGCTAACTGTTTGGCGCAAGAGGCCTAGCTTTCGGCCTATCTCGGCTTTCGACATGCCTTCCTCACTAAGCTTAATCATTTCTAGCTTTTGATTTAAAGTGAGAGACGTGTGACTCTTCCTTTCACTTGAACACTTAGAGGCCATTGTAGGGTTATTAATTGGCCTAATTTCAGTATTGTTGTGTCTCAGGGAATAGGGAGGCCCGAGGAGAGGGAGAGAGATGGGGGAACAGCCGGTCAGTGGAGCAGTCAGAACACACACAACATTTATCAATTAAGGTCGCCGTCTTATATGGGCGCGGTTCATGGCACCCCAAAACAATTCCAATAGTAACATCAAAGATCACAGATCACCATAACAAATATAATAATAATGAAAAAGTTTGAAATATTGCGAGAATTACCAAAATGTAACACAGAGACACGAAGTGAGCAAATGCTGTTGGAAAAATGGCGCCGATGGAAAAATGGCACCGATAGACTTGCTCGACGCAGGATTGCCACAAACCTTCAATTTATAAAAAACGCAATATCTGCGAAGCGCAATAAAGCGAATCGCAATAAAACGAGGTATGCCTGTATAAACTACTGTATTTACTCAAATTTCAGTTGACCCTGAATTTAAGACGACCTCCCCCCCAGTAATTAAATTCTATACATGGAAAAATTATAAATTTGTTATAATTTTCCAGGTATAGAATCTGATTATTGGAGCGATGTCTTAATTTCATCCCACTTCTACTGCTACAGCAGGAAAAATGCTGCTTGGGGTGGGGTCAGCTAGTCCCTTGCCTTCTGCCCACCCCCACAATTCTTCTCCCTGCAGCCTTCTCCGCCCCCCCTCCCCACTCCCACACCCCCTGGCTCCCAGCTCCTCATGGCCTCTGCTGCTCTCTCCCCTGTGCCCCACAATCTCTGTCCCTACCTCCCCGCCATCCTTTGTCTCCTCCCCCACACCTTTACTGTCAGACACTGCTCAGGCTCTGTTTCCTCCCGGAGCACAGCACATGAAAGCTATTGCTTGCCAGGCCATGCACCAGTGTCATCACTACTGATTGGCTAGGCAAGAGACATATTTTCCATGTGCTCCATGCCCAGGAGGGAACCAAGCCTGAGCCAGAGCTGAGCTGCACCTGACAGTAAGGAGGGGGAGAGGGGAGGGCAGGAAGCTGCTGGGGGTCTGACTCTGGCCCAGACCCAGGCTCAGGCCCAGAATTAGAGCTGTAGCAGCCACCTGCCTCCCCTTCCCCCCCCCCCTTTGTGTGCAAATCTAAAACAAGGGGCTTTTTCCCTTATGCTGATTGAGGGGGGAAAACTTATCTTAGATTCAAGTAAATATGGTATTGTTGTTGTTATAGAAACTATAATTTACATTGCAGCCCCCTTTGACTGAAGGTCAGTTCAGCAATGTTCACAAAGGTATGGAAGGGCAACCCATACTCATACACTTTTCTGCCTCCCCTGCCAAAGTCCTCATGCACACTCAGGCCTCCAAACCCAAAAATCATATACAATTTTCTGTCTCCCTTGAAAAAAAAAGATGCACACAAGAATGTACATAGAACATCTTAGAATTACTCCAGCGATATAAGTGCTAAGCAGCTTCCCCTGCTTTCCATACTGCCTCCTACAGAAGAGGAATAAACTTTTTGATAGCTCTAATTAATGCTTCTCTGTTGGCTTGACAAAAGTAGACCCACAGAAGGAGCTAGGGTTGGAACTAAATAGTTCAGACCAGTGAATATAACAGGAAGGCAGGGCCACATTAAGTTTACCCAGCACCTTAGCCTTAGAGGCCTAATGAGAGCAGGGAGAGGGGTGCCACTGAGCACCAGCAAGCATGGAGTGCTGAGAGCAGGGGGAGTGGGGAGTCTTACCAGCTCCAAGAGCACAAAACGTCTTCAGGTGATGCTGCCATGTCATGGTCTGCTCACCCTAGTTGCTGCTACAGCAACAGTGTGATCTGCATCCACCTAGCTGATGCTTCTACAGCAGCAGCTTTGGGCTGCTGCTTCTGCTGGGGCACAGACTCCCCAGGGGGGCATTCTGGCACCTGACTAAGTTGGTGCCCAGGGTTGATGCCCTGCTCGCCCACCCCATGTTACACTATTGTTAAGCATACCTTATATGGGTTTCCTGTATTCTGGCCTTGCCCCTCTATACTACGGCAGTGCTGTCCATGCTGCACAGCCTATTCCTATTTGAGACTGCAGTATCTATGCATTTCTCTCCCAGTCTGTTGCAAAGTGTGGCAGTGTCTGTGACAGGGTCTTCTTTTCTCACAGGGTTACATGGAGGAGGCAGCAGACGTAGCCCCTGCAGTGAAAAGTTTACAGTCCAAGGTTAGAATTGTAGACAACAGATGGTTATTAGAAGGAAACACTAAGACAACTCTTGTACAAGGAATATAAATATAATTCCTTAATCTATGCATAAAAATCAATTTAATCTAATACGAAACCACAAATGATAAAATACTAAACTCATAATTGTAGAGTTATTCGGCAGCATTGGTAGAGGGCAAAGTTAAGGTGGTTTAGGTGCCTTACTTATTTATTTTTATTCTTTAATAAGTTTGGATTTATTTTTGATAGGTTTGGATACTTACAAAATTCCCATAATTTTCTTACCTTAAATTACCAAAGCATACTCTCAACCTTACTTTTTTAATGTTATTTTTGTCCTGGAATATAGCTGTATTTATATATTAAGATGAGAGTGCATATTAGAACTTTCTGCTATGCATACAGAAAGAAGACATAGGTTACAGTTACAGTTGGTAAGTGCAGTTAGAGAAAAGATACATATACCTTCCATTAAATAGAAAAATTCCCACTGACTAGCACCAAAATCAGTGATTCTCAACCAAGGTGCCTTAAAATCCTTTCAAGTGTGCTGCAAGGTGTTGTGAAATGTTAGCACAGTTAGGTGTGCAAACTTGATTCAGAAGATAAACTCCAGGGCCATGTCCAGACATGCATGAATGTTTGATTCCCCAGGAACAACTAGAGGCTGCGCACCTTGTGCCACTGCTAGCTGTCCCCAGGGAACACCTGTACCACACAGCAAGTTACCCCAGGTGGGGTAGGGGAGATTAGGGCCATCACTGGGCTGACTCCACCAACCTTATCTGGGGTCCTGGGGGCCTCCCAGGGCTGCAGCAGCAACGATCCTGCCATATGGAGCCTGGCTGGCAGCAGAGCGCAGTTCCAGCTGGCCAGGCTCCAGTTTTGGGCAGTGCATGCTGCTGCCTGCCACATGTGCTGCTCCGCCTTTTTTTCCCATGGGTTTCTTTTGACCCCTGCTCCCTTGCAGCGTGGAGAACAATTGAACATGCGGTATGTGTCACATAGCACATGGCCATGCTCGTTTGGACGCAGCCCAGGATTTCAAATAGGAATCCATAGTGTTAAAACATTCTGACTTGTTCCGGTCTTTCTGAGTTCTTTGAAACAGAAGAATTGCCATGTTATTTTTCTATAGTCAAAAATGTTTGAAAACTAAGAGCTGGCATTTTCCATGAGGAGCCTTGAGCCTATAAAGGGATGCTTCAAGTCTGAAAAGGTTGAGAACCACTGACCTAAACAATTTACTAGTGTTGTTGTAACAAAGCCCTCACCAACAGCTACACAAAATAAATAAGCCAAATGTTGCATTCATCACAGTTATTTTTTTAATTATACATAAAAAACTCAATAGCATATTCTAATCTAGAGAATCATACATAGATCATAGAATCAGTAATACTTCAACAATTAGGGCCACTTAAATCCAGTCTGTCTCTACCTGTCCATATAATTAAAGTTTCTTTTAGTGGCCATGATCCTAATATCTGACCATCCAAATTGTCATATTTTCTTACTGGGTAAAATAATTTTAAGTGCCTCTAATTAATGTTATACTAAGACAGAAATGATCTATATTGGCTCTCTGGGCTCAATTTTGCACCTTTCACCAATACAAATTTTTCTTTAAACATTATATTTGAAGAAAAGGTTAAAAAAATTGCAAATGCAAAAGAGAATTTTTGTAAATGCTCAAGTGGTCATTTGTTTTAATTTTGTCTCAGCTAACTGCTTTGGGTCAGGATATTGTACATCCAAATCCATTGCCAACAAGCTCACCCTAACCAGAAATGCAGGTTGACTGAACCAGATCTTTTATCTCTGCCTTCAGACTGCATTTTCCATTCATTTCTCTATTGGTTATGACACGCATCGAAAGCTTGAAAGACCTGTTTATGAGATATGTCACAGACCCATGAATTTCATCCACGGGAGCATGCTCCTGTTGCCGTCTATTCCCATTAGATTCACTAACATAGAACATTCTGTTTGCTCTTTCTCCGATTTTAGATGGAATGGGTCGAGTCCTTGCTCAAGATGTTTATGCAAAAGACAACCTCCCCCCATTTCCAGCATCAGTGAAAGATGGCTATGCTGTAAGAGGTAAATGCAGTACATCTTCTGAAAGCATAACTGTACACCAGCTTGCTTGTACACCTGCACGTTCCATCACAGTTGGAAGCATTTATTTTTTCCTTTAAATTGTATTTATTTCATTTTTAGAAATCTAGATCATTACTGAATTCCTGTTGTGTAAAATTCAGCCATTTTAAAGGAAGACTATTGTGTTTACTGTAGTTTTAACTCTTTAAATAAGTGTGCATGCATGTATTTGTACCCATGCATATTTGCCAACATACTTACAGTTGCAATGTGAGCACTATCACTCAGTTCTTTACTCCCTTGGCTGTACTGGTCCTGGTGCCTCTTGCAGTAGAATCTGCCATCTAACGGTTGCTTTCTAGAAGGAAGTCTGGCCCTAAGATATAGTTTGAGATGCAAGTAATGGTGTTTCCTGAATGAGAGGCAGGAGGATTTCTAATATATCAATAATATTTTATATATAACTCGATAGATAGATAGATAGATAGATAGATAGATAGATAGATAGATAGATAGATAGATAGAAAGAAAATATGCAAAATCATGCAATCACAAATTCGTTAGGTCTCTATGATTAGTGATTGCATAATTTTCGTGGAAAATGCAAAATCGGGTGAGCTCCATAAAAAAATGTCAGACTCCACAAAAAACAGTGGGCTCCATGATTTTGGCAGGCTTACTGCAAAAAAACCCCAAAACTTAGTTAAAATGCTGGCTCCCCAGAGGGAGCCACAGTCCTCATGGCACTGCAGTGATGTGTTATCAGCACTCGGGGCGGGAGTACCCAGCCCAGCATGTTTCACAGTGAGGGTGGGGGAGTGCCTGCACCCAGGTTTTGGGGATTCTGGGGGAGGGGCAGGGGGGATGACTTGTGGCTGAGCCCATTTTTACTTTTCTGCTTTCCCTTCTGTTCTAAACACTAGTTCAATAAGCTTCAAAAGCCTACAATTGATCAGAGTCTGTGTTGTGTGCTTGCCTGGTTTTGAGAGGAAGGAGTGCTTGGACCTACACTTTTAGGTTCCCAGGGCAGGGGAGGGAACATTATGAGGGGCTGTAGTTGAGTACAGAGTGAAGACACAGGTGGTTGTTAGAAAAATAGCTTTTACTGAACAGCGGTGCAAGGGAGCTCGTTGATAAAAAGCTCCAACAAAAGGAGGAAAGAGGTCAGTAGAGTTTCTGGCTGTGTACCAGAGTGGCCAGTTGCAACAGGCTGGGGCGAGTTAGGAGCGATGCAGCGTGGGATACCTGGAGAATTGACCAGGCCCATTTCACAGAACACTTGGTGTCCACACATAACATTGAACAGGTTCACAGTGAACCAATTCATAGTGCTTGATTTTCCAGGTATACTTTTGAACCATTCCAGGCAGATTTAAACAGGATTGTGTGTCCGTCCACTTCAGGTTTAAACAATATTTAAACTATGCTACGTATTGTGTGTGCCTGTGTCCTTAGATCCACTGATGAAAAGTCCTATGTAACAGCTGCGTATTGAGTAGTGGGTATGTTGTTATGCTAGAAGTTGGACAATTAGATTGGAAACTGAAGTTATTGGTCATGACAGACACTTTCAGCTCAGGGACAACTGTTTTCTTCTCTTTTTTTTTGGAGTAGATAGCTGAAACACTGGAAAACCACTCAGAGAACTAAACCGTATGTAGGCCATGTAACAGTCCAAAGTGTTTCTTGAGGGTCTGGTAACAAATACAGGGGTAGAAAATTAATTAGATTTCAGCTGTGTGTGTCTGTGTGAAGTGCACGGGGAAGTCCCGGACAAAGCCAGAGAAACAAAAGGGCTGAGAGGGAGAACTGTGGGTAGAAGTTTGGTTTGAAAGAGTCTAAGAACTGAAAACAAATAAATGGTCTCCTCCTATTTGATTCCTATTGTGTGAAACAGGACTTTATGTACAGTCTTTATAAATTAATTAAATTACATCAGACAGTTATTTGACACTCTTCCTTACAGAAACAGCTAGTACAGTATTTAGTATGATTTATATTAGAAAAATTAATTCAGTTTCAGGAAATATTGGAGCCATTCATTTGTCCTAAAGTGTGTGTCTTTCATTAGCACTATTTACGTGGTTTGCAGTCATTTATCCATCTGAGATTTTTTTGGACTTTTCTTTCCCAGATCATCTGCTCAGGTATACATGCACATCTTTTAAAAATAACATTGAGCAATCTGTTGAATGTGCACGATTCAAAGACTGTACGTGCGAGTTTTCTCTTCTGAGCCACGAAGCAAAAAGTGATAATCTCGGACGAAGATCATTACTATGCCATGAAATTCAGAAAGAAATTTTGCTGAATGCGTTTGATTTACCCAAGCCCAATTTGAAGTGATTGCTTTTGATTAGGTGTGATGCAAAGGACATGGTAGCAGTTTTCAAATATTTGAAAGGCTGCCATAAAGAAGATAAGCACAAAATGTCATTCCTTGCCATATAGGGCCAGACATAAGGTCATGGATTTAAACTACAAAAAGCAGATTTAGATCAAATCTCAGGACAAACTTCCTGATTATAAGAACACTAGGACAGGAGAACAAGCTGCTTGGGAAGCTGTGGAATAGCCTTCACTGGAGGTTTTAAAAAAGTAGGCTGGATAGACATCCATCTTGAATCGTTTAAGAACAGCAAATCCAGCATCTGTGCAGTAAATTGGACTTAAGAACTGTGGACCTTGAGGTCCCTTGTAGCCCTGTGTTTCCATAATTGGCCAGGAAGGCAAAAAATTATTATAAGAGTCTGAATTAAACAAACAGTGGTACCATAAATGTCTCACCAGTCTATTTTATGCAATTCAGCCCACACACTGGTCAGTATTCCATGTGATTGGGTGCAGTGTGATCTTCCCACAATTCAACTTTCATCTGATTGATGTGGTCATCAATCAGATGACAATCTGATTGAAGTGGTCTATCTGCTTCTAAGGTATAGTGTGGAGGTATCAAACTCCTTTGACCCCAAAGGCCAGATGAGGAACGTGAGGCCAGTCCACAGACCAGATCAGGCCCATACAATTCCCCACATGCCAGAGCCATCACTCAGGGATCCAATCTGGACCAGCCCCATATTCAGCACACAGGGCCAGTCCAGCACAGGTGCCCAAACCAGCCCCACACTCCACGTGCATGCTGTGTGCAGCGAGTGCACCAGACCAGCTTCTTGCACTAAATAGAGCATGGGCTGAATGATAGGGCTCCACAGGTTGTGTCTTTGACACCCCTAACATAGTGTCTTCATTCAAACTGAATAAAGACAACTTCAGTCCACACACAGAATAATGAACACTAGCACCAATTTAGATCAGTGATTTGGCACCAGTGAGCCTTAAAAATATTTTTGTTATCTATAATAAAACTAATACGGCTAGTTAACATTCTTCTTATATGTGAGACAATAAGGTGGTCATATGCCATATATTGTGTATTAGCTTTCTCAGAAAGCAAAGTCTAAAATAAAATAATCTAATATTTAAAGCCTAAAGAACCACATACAACTGTCACATAACCCTCTCTTATTTTTGAGGATGGTTCTTCAGATCTCAGTATTTCAGCCCCAGAGCCACTTGCCACTAAAAGGGGAAAAGTTTGACTCCTTTTAGCTAGATTCTTCTACTCCACTGTTATTTTAGAATCTGAAGTCAAGTTAACATTGTCCATTGGGCTCTTCCAAGTTAAACCAATCATTCCTTCTGCTGATACTGTATAGTGTCTCACTAACATGGCTGTATAATGTCTCACTAACATGGTTGTGTTACTTCTGTATCAGGAAGCAGTGTGTGCAAATTCGGCAGTATGTCTCAGTATAGCTGTATTAGGTGATTATAGCCAGACTTGTTCTGCCATATGACACAAAAAATTCTTGTTGCTAGAATAATCCATAATGGTCTCCTCAGACCTCTTCATTCTCTTGCAAGAGGAACAGTGAGTATATCTGAACAGTTTTGTGACAGAACATATTATTCTACCAAAGATAATACATGTAAATATGTTGAACTTTTAAAGATATCTTAAAATCCCTTAAGGCTGAAAATGTTTCACATAACAGTTGTATCTTCTCACATAGTAACTAAGGAAGCAGCTCTGAACTAAACTGTGCATTATTCTAAGGTTCTTCCTTGCTTGCTATGTTGTTTTCTCTTTTTTTTGGTGGTTTTACCTTTTTATAATCTTCTTTCTTCTGTGCTTTCTTACAGCTGCCGACGGCCCTGGGGATAGATTCATCATTGGTGAATCCCAAGCTGGTGAGCAGGTGAGCATATTTTTTTTTCTCTCTTCTCTTTTTTGAGTATTTTTTTATTTCCTATGAAAATAAAAATCTGATTTCTTTTTAGTTTTAATTATTATTTGTTTCTATTCTGTGCAATTTCTTAAGTGTTCCAAATAATGGACTTGTAACTGAAGACAGCTCTGAGTAACTACACATTTGTGTGCATAGTATCTAGTCTACAACTACACATGTTGTAGTATGATCTTAGAAGCTAGTATAAAATCAGAGAGACTCAACCCCAATATCCTTCAGAGAGTGGTACTGGTGGTTCTCTAGAGGGTCATATGAGGTCTGAATGTGCACAGCAATTCCCTAGTATAATGTTAGCAAGCACTGTGCTTCTGCTGTTGTTGTCATTAATGAAATCTAGAAGCCCAGGGTTTCAGATTCTGAACAGCCCTCAACCCAGCATCTAATTGCACAAGTCATTTGTGTGTTGGTTTTTTGCACACATCACTTCAAAGATGCAGAATTACATGCAAGTGATTTTCCCTTCTGCTGAGTTGCCAAAGCAGGTGATGTACTCTATTCAGATTTTAGGGAAGTGGGAGTAGTCTTCTCAGGTCACTAAAACTTGGAGCCATCTGTTGCTGTTCATTATCTGTCATGCATTTGCCTTCCTTCTCAAGGGACCAGAAGGATTCCACTAAAGGTCACCTAAGTCTCCACCTATTTAAGCATTTTTCCCAGTCTGATATACTCATCCTTGATCTATTCCAATAGGCATCTGGCAGTGTCATTTGTCCCAGTAGGAAGGTCCAGTGGACTTTTCCCTGTTCCCATCAACATCTTTCTCAACTGTAAATACATAGTTTATATCCTTGCTCTTGATAGGCAGCACCCACTTCAGCTTCCTAGACCTGGTCAGGTAACACACACATTGATTAATCTGAATAAAGAGTCCAGAATTACATATACCTGCGTCTTGTGGGTGCCAGGGTGCATTTCAGACTCTCTTCCATATATTTCTTTTTTTGTATGTAGATCATTCTGTCGTCTATTTTCTCTCTTACTTGCCTGTATATCATCCTAATTTCTTACTGGGCTCACATTCCTAGCTCCCTCCATCATCTCTTCCTCTCTCTGTTTGAACTATTTTCCTTTCTCTTCTTCCTTACCACCCCATCTCTTACCTGCTTCTCCTCTTCGTTCTCTAGTATCTGCCCTGCAGCTCTTGTTTCTTCTCTACTGGCTTCTTCTTTCTTGGTCACATTGTTTCATGAGTCAGTTTCCTGATCTAGAAGTTTGATCTCCAAGTTCTTTTGTTCAGCAGGTGTCAGGAGTTGCCCCTGCAGCATCCTGTCTCCTGTCCTCCATCATATTTTCAGATCTTTGTCTGAACTCCACTCTCTAGTGTTCAGATCTTTTCTTTCATGAGCTGTGTCAAGCAACATTTCATATCTGAAAAGATTCTGGCCTTGTACAGACATTCAGTTTCTCCTGAGAGCTATTGCTTTCCCAGGACAAACAAGTGTACAGATGTTCAGGCTTTTTCTCCTGAAGTGAAAATAGCCACTCCAGGAGAAAAATAACTTGGATACAACCAGGGTTAAATCACTTCCAGGAGAGTTTCTCCTGAGAGAATGAATGTCTGTACATATTCACAACACAAGCTAACTATGGGCAATCTGGATTAGCCAATCAGGGCTGCCCTATACACTGCTGTCATCTGTTGTCAGGCAGACTAAGGAAACCTGTAGACCATACAGAGCTGTATGCATAGGCCCTCCCACTGGCTGCACAGTGTCAGCACTGCAGGCTCTCCACTCTTCAGGACCTCAGCATTCAAATGTCTGTACATGTGGCTCTGGGTAAGTTTATCTACCACAAGAACAAACCTGGGAGAATTCTCCTAAATTATTTGAATGTGTATATGCAGCCTGTTAGGCACCTCTCAAGGTTAATACATATCCTTCAGTTTCTGTATCCACTGCTCTGCTTTTATGTTCTCTCATGCTAAGGTCATATCTAGTATTAATACAGTATCTATCATTGTGTTTTCATGTCAGTGTCTATCCTAAAGGAAAAAAGAATGAAAATCCTTCAAGTTGCAAGACAGTATACCTTTGTGTATACCTGAATAGTTATTCAGGAGACAAATGAATAGGTTAAATTTAATGAGGGGCAGAAAAGGAGTTTATAAATATGCAGTCAACAGTAATCATTGTAAAACACCAGGTGCTATGCATAAGTATATTTAGATGCTTTAAATCATTTGAAGTGGACAACTCAGAAAAGAGTCATTATGCTAATTAACCTAGCACTAAGCTGCAAAAGCATGAATATTTACAGCACATTTTACCATAATTAACCTCACCCATTGAATTCTGGCACTTTTCTAGTCATGTTATGCAACTTGTGGTCCTTCAAGCCAAAAGATAACCCATTAAAATCAGAGGGATTTTTTTTAATGTATCTTACAGTTAACTCTTGAAACCCACTGATACCGGACAGAAACCACTTAATAAATTTAAAACAATATTATAACTTTACATAAAGAATGATATGTTCATTTATACTATAATTAAGATTAAATATATAAGAGCTTTCATTTCTTACGTGCCAAGGCAAAAGCTGATGGTTTTGTTTCTCAAAGTCTCTTTTTCTGACAGTCATACACAAAATTCTAGATTGGATAGATTATTTTTCTGCCTAGAGAAGGCAAATCATTTTTAACTATTTTTTAAAAGATTTCTAGATAAAATGTACCTACAGCTAATGTAGTTGTGGCAGTTTCTGTATCCCTAGGTCAGAATATCTCTATAAATTGCTTAAAAGTGAAGCTAATTATGAGAGCCAGGGATAATGTATGCTTGTGTCCTACTATGAGTATTGCATATGCTCTGGGTTTTGCTGGTTTTCATATGGGGCCAGGAAATATTTTCCCTCTACTGCAGCTACATGTGTTGGTGGCGGGAGTTAGGATGGAGGGAGACAGATTTGCAATCTTCGGAAACACTGGCTGCGGCCAAGGCTGGGGATTTTGACAGGTGTGCCAGTGCTTCTGCTGAAAGTTAAACGCAGAGGTAACTGGCTAGAGGGTCTTGCCACTCTGCTCAGGGTCAGAGCAGCTGGAGTTCATATTTAGGATTCAGGAAAGAATTTTACCCCATAGTCAGATTGGTATGGAATGTGGGGGGGTGGGGGGGTTACCTTCCTGTGTAGCAGGGGGCTGTGGCCCTCTTCCTTGGATCTCTCAAGCATATTTTACCAACATTTGCAGCAACAGGACACTGACCACTGTGGTCCCTCTGTGTTAACTGTGGCAGGTTAGGGTGTTATCTCTTGTGGTTGTGTTGGGACTGACTGTGTAGTTTTGCTAATAAGTTAGACAATGGCTCTGTATAGGATGGTTTGAATGAGGATGATCCTGCCTCAGGCAGGGTGTTGGACTAGATGATCTCTGAAGGTCGCTTTTAACGCTACTACTTATAATTCTGTGATTCTAACCCACAGAATATCTTCACCTGAGCCATCCAGCATGCTTACTAAGATGCATAAGAATGACCTAGATTCCATTCTCCAATCACCTGAGACATACTATAATATGCTCCCTGGATCAGAGGGTTAATGGAACTCTAGGCACAACAAGACACAAAACTGTGTCATAATTACAGCCTTTTTAGTTCTCATTTTGCTTGTCCTATTGAAAGCTCCCTTGACCTTAGAAGTCCCAAAACTAAATTCAGCCTTGTCTTGAGGGTTCAGTTAACCATTCTGATGCAATGAGACCCAAACTTCCAGCCCCATGGGCCTGATGAGTGATGCAGGGTCGGTCTCTAGGCAGGATCCCCACAGAGGGTTGGTGCATGTGTTTGGTTTGTGGGTGCAATCCAGCATGCCATCTTGACCCTGGATCCAGCCACATACTAGCCCACCCCACATGCCTAGATCTAGCCACAAATCAGCCCAGCCCTGCATGCCAGCCCAAATCTGCATTCCTGGATCTGGTCACACACTGGCTTCATCCTTCATGCCTGGATCCAGCTAGACAGTGTCCCAACCCCACTTGCCTGGATCTAGCCATGCAGTGGTGCAGTCTGCTGCACAATGCAATGTTATCCAGCCCATGAGGCTCCCCATGGCTCTGTAAATTTGGCACCAAGAGGAGCAGGTATTAATACTGTCACCACTCCCCCACCCAATTTTCAGATCCTTAGGGAGCCCCATGGGGCAAAGAACACAGCTCTTCAGGCTGGGTCTGACCCTTGGGTTGGGGCTTGAGCATCCCTGCACTAATACAGCTGATAAGGAAAATTACCCTCCCCCTAGAACTGCCCCAATGTGCTAAGTACATCAGCTTTTGAAGTACACACGTTCCAGATTTAATTTGGCACTTCTGAGAATATCACTACACAAAAACTGATGCAGAAGGATGGACGGAGCAGATGTGCTACTTTGCACAAAAAAATGACATTTGCACAATTGTACTTTACTTTTATCTTCCATTTTACTAACAAGGTCTCCCTCCCTCCTACCCTCCCTTCCTTCCTTTCTTCAGTGTCTGTGGCCAAACAATGATTTTAACTGTGGATTTTGAAAAAAAAAATAGTTATAATGTATTGGTGATGCAATTTTTTAAAAATGTTCACATCATTTATTTCATTATGTTGCTGTTCATAGATTCACAGACATTAGGGCTGGAAGGGACTTTGTGAGATCATCTGGTCCAGCCCCTTGCCCAAGGGCAGGAAGTCAGCTGGGGTCAAAGGACTCCAGCAAGATAATCGTCCAAGCACATCTTAAATGTGTCCAGAGTAGATGCTTGCACCACTTCTGGGGGGAGTCTATTCCAAACTCTGTGTACTCGAACAGTAAAGAAGTTCTTCCTTATGTACAGTCTAAAACTGGTTTCCAGCAGTTTGTGACAACTGAACCTTGTTTTCCCTGGAGGAGTCCTGGTGAACAAATGTTCTCCCAAGTCCTGATGAACACCCCTGATATATTTATAGGCTGCCACCAAGTGCCCCCTGAGTCTACGATTAACCAAGCTGAAGAGTACCATTCCTCTCAGCTTCTCCTCAGATGGCCTGCTCTTTTGACCTCTGATCATGCATGTGGCTCTCCTCTGGACTCTCTGAGGTTCTCCACATCCTTTTTAAAGTGTGGAGCCCAGAATTGGATGCAGTACTGTAGCTGCAGCCTCACCAAGGCTGAATAAAGTGGGAGAATGACATCTTGGGTCTTGTTTGAGATGCAGTGGTAGATGCAAGCCAGGGTTTTATTTGCTTGGTCAGCTGCAGCATTGCATTGGTGGCTCATATTTATCTGGTGGTTAATCATGAACCCCAAGTCTCTTTCAGACATAGTGCTAGTGAGTGAAGCACTGCCGAGCCTATAGGTATGATAGGAGATTTTCCTCCTGAGGTGGAGCACCTTGTATTTCTGTACATTAAAGGTCATCAGGTTTCATATTGTGAGCCTATCCAGGTCAGCCTGAATCCCCAGCCTATCCTCCAGTGCGTCCATGCTTCCCCACAATTTTGTGTCATCCGTGAACTTAACCAGTTTGTTTCTGATGCCCAAATCCAGGCTGTTAATGAATATATTAAAGAGTACCAGTCTGAGTACTGAACCCTGAGGGATGTCACTGGTTACCATATGCCATGCTGACTCGGTTCCATCAACAGTCACTCTATGGGTCCAACCACAAAGCCAGTTCCCAAGCCATTGGAGCATAAGGTTGTCAAGGCTGCAGTTCCCCAGTTTTGCCATAAGGATATCATGGAAGACCAAATCAAAGGCTTTTTGAAATCTAAGTAAATGGCATCAACCTTCCCCCCAACCCTGCCCCCCTGGTCATAGAAGGAGATGAGGTTGGTCAGGCTCAGCCTACCTGAAATGAAGCCATGTTGGCTTTCTCTCAGAATGGCGCCTTCTGTCAGCCTGTTGTTGATGGATTCTTTGATAATTTTTTCCAAGGTTTTCCCAGGGATTGAGGTCAAACTGATTGGCCTGTAGTTCCCTGGATATTCCTTCCTTCCTTTCTTGAAGATAGGCACCACGTTGGCCCTCTTCCAGTCTTCAGGAGCTTCTCCTGAGTGCCACAAGTTCTCAAATATCCTTGCCAGTGGTAGAGCTATAATGTCGGCCAACTCTTTTAGCACTCTTAGGTGCATTCCATCAGAGCCTGCTGACTTATGGATGTCCATCCTCCCAAGGTGTTCCCTCGCAAGGTCTTCACCAAATGTAGGCATATGGTCACCCATACCTTTGTAGTCTTGTGCCCTGTCAGGAGGGGTGATCCCCTTGAGCTGGTGGAAAACTGACACAAAATAATTATTGAGATTAGCTTTTTCTTGAGTGTCAGTTATCAGCTGTTGGTTCGTTGCAGAATGCCAGCTTCTTAAGAAGTTATATTTTTTCTGCAGAGGCTTTGAACTGTGGTCTTGTGTGGTTATCACAGAACAACTTATTATTGCTGTTGCTCTAGTTCTTGTTGCTGGTGCTATTGCTGCTCTTGTCAAAGACTGGTATGTGGGCAGTCAAAAAGCAGTGATTAGATAAGGATTGAACACCTCGGGTCTGAGCCAAAATTGCTGTCCAAAGAACAAGCCAAGGTCAGGAACCACTGATCTATACCAGAGTCAGGTGACTCAGAGGAAGTAGAAGGATGAGACCCTACAAAAGGCAAAGCTGGATCATACATTTGGGCAGACAGAATCCAGGCCAGGGATTGGACCGAGACTTAGCCTTAGCAGAACGGCTTAAAATCTAAAGAAGAAACATTGAGCAGGTATCTACTTGCTAGCATTCTGCTCAAACTTTTACAGCTGACTCTAAGGAAAAGGGCTGGTCATCTAGGAGCAGGGTTTAATGCAGAGAATGGCCTTAGTCCAGATGCATCAGGCTAACCTGTTCTTGCTCCTTGGTACCTACACATCACACTACCCTACTCTTCAGGGAGCATCTTACAGGCAGTTTTGGCCAGGTTTTCAGGGTTCTCTTGTACTAGGTCAGGAGTATGGATGTCATATATTGGCTCTCAGGATTAATCAGTGGGCATATCACCTTCTAATAAGGTACCAAAGTCTTCCCTGAATGAATTCTGAGTCAGGCTTCTCATACCAGGAACAGTTCCTGACTGTATTGTAATGTGGGAATGGAGGATTCCCCTCCTCCATCAGGAGAACATTTTCACTGTAGGGTTTCAAAAGCAACGCAAGGAAAACTGTTTGTAACTTCAACATGTCTGGCAGGCAGAACTCAAATGTGACAAGGGTAATTGGATGATTATGCCTGTTGGATAATCTAAAAAGATCCCAGGTAACAGAAATCCAGCTCAGCTGAAAGATATACAGAGGTAAGGAGTTTGTGTAAACAACCACACCTAGCCCCTGTTGCAAAGCTGGGTTGTCTGATGAACGTTAGTCAGCATAATAGTCATCAGTGTCCTCAGTGGCCTGGAGGTGGTCTTTCAGTTCCTGTTGAATTTGATGCAAATGACTGAGTAGCTCAAGCCCATGTGCTACCAGCTCTCTGAAGCCTTAAGCACAGGATAGGGTCAAATTGGGGTTGATAACCATTATTTACAAAACCCAGCTATGTTGTTTGAATCTTTTGCTGAGAAGCATACCAGTTTTTTTACCCATTGTGATCAATGTTTTTGTGGACAACCCTCCACTGAGAACAAGACTGAAACCACTAGCTCATTCCATGCATCCATCATATGGTAATGCATGTAAACCTGAGCCAGATATGAATCTGTAAGTTATTTTTGTTTAATTACATGGGGTTTTCCCTTATTCATGACAATAATAGTTCATCAGCAGTACATGGAAAATAAGACTTACTCTATATGGATTTGTTCATTCCAAATTATCTCAGAATCTTTAAACATGTTGAGGTTTTCCCTTTCCCTTTTTAAATTTATAAACTCATAAAAATCAAAGAAAAATGGAGTTGGGAGGGACTTCCAAGCTCCCCACCCCCACCCCCAACTCAAGACAGGATTGTTCGTATGTAAACCATCTCAGACAAATGTTTGTCTAACCTGCACTTAAAAACTTCCAGCAATGGAGATTCCATATCTAAGCATGTTCCGTTGCTCAACCACCCTCACAGAGAGTTCTTCCTAGTATCTAATGTAACCTAGTGAGTTCTCATTTGCCTTTCTTGTTTGTATTTTCCAGCCAACTCAGACTGTGATGCCTGGTCAGGTGATGCGAGTTACAACAGGTGCTCCAATCCCCTGCGGTGCTGATGCTGTGGTACAAGTGGAAGATACAGAACTCATCAGGGAATCAGATGATGTGAGTCATTATTAAAAACTTACTTTGCCTCACTTCTGTTTGCAATAACATGATAACAGGGAATGCAGAGAAAGTCTCAAAAGGAGCAGTATTTCATAACCTTTCTCCTTTTTTTTGAGACTGGGGTACCATATCCACAAGGAGTCAAAATGACCAACCTCACTAACTCCAGTGACCTGACTCCTTATCTTGAAATGTCATAGATCTCTCAATATTCCTACTATAGGTAATATCCTAGTCCATGCAGGCTTACTGAAAGGTCTTTTGTCTCTTCCAGTATGCTGAACCAGGAAGAGACAAAAGATGTATTGCGCTGAGATGTAGTAAACTTGTTATGCTTTGAGAACTTGCCAATCTATATTAGCAGCATATCTACAGGGAGCCTCAATCATTTATTGGATTGTTGAGGTAGTGGTAATTAAACTGGTGGTGCTGACAGCCTGTTTCAGTGTTCTTAGCCTGAGTCAATGCATGAAGAAAGTTATTCTGACTTAACTGCCTCTCCTTTTAGTGGAAACATATGATGGCCTCTACAGCTTCAGTACTTTTCCTTGTGTTATCAGAACAACAGTTCAGGTAGCATCTCTCAGTTAGAGTCAGTAGAGATCAAATGCAAGCTGTCACTGGATTTTATTAAAGTTTGCCCAAAACTATGTGACAGTGCCTATCCATCATTTAAAAGGTGGTATTACAGGAAAAATAGAACCTATCAAAATAGGAAGGTAGAGAGAAGCATATTGCCCAAAAGAATATTCCCTCATTATGTAACCAAGAAAAATATGGAGGAGGAAAAGGTTGATGTTTGGCGAACAGAGTCCTTTTCTTCCGCCGTGGGAGCGAAGAAATTCAACAAATGGTCATGTTAAGTATGTCTCTGGCTGGGCCACGATCTGAGCCTCTGAAGAGAAAGTTTATATAATGCTCTAGATTAGCAAAAGAAATGATGAGAAAAAGAAAGAATTCCCTCTGAGGTTTTTTGATTTATTTACAAGACTTTTGTTCAAGCAAAATAGCCCATATCTTTTGAGTTTCTGGCCACGTATCTTCCATGCAGTTGAACAATCTGTAAATTCCAAACAAAACTATCCAGTATGCCTCTGTAACTCCCCATCCTGTTTTCTGGATTGTGGGCTTTCTGTTACTTTCTTTGAAATCATCACTAAAATCCTTGTTGTCTCTAATAGTAAAGAATCAAACCTCATGACAGTAGCCCAGTCCCATTATAAGGTTCTTGCCTGACTGCCTCTGATACAGGCTGTGCTTCTAGCTTGGGACTTGAAAACACCTGCTGGGATATATCAGAAATCCTCTACTTTGTCCTTCAGGTCAGCTTGCCTTCTTCCAGACTCGCGTCTAGTGGGAAATGATTTGACTTCACACCACCAAAAGAAAAAACCCCAGATAATTCTTTATTTTTAGCCTTAACTGGAGCTTCCTGTAAATTTTCTCTTCAACTCCTCAGACCCAAGCCATTTGCCCAATGTAAATGGAGACCATGTTAATCATGCATGTTTTAAGTGGTGGGGACTGTACTACAGGGTCTGTACCACTTGGATCCTAAAATGGCAAAGAATCTGAGAAATGGTTTCACCTTCTCTGCCCATTATGTATTAAAAGACATTCAGAGCATACATAATGGCTGCAATGAACACTAGTGGCCAGAAGAATCTGATTTCACAGAACCTGTCTGCTGTGATGAAAATAACAGTCAATGGGTCCTTTTAATAAAAGTAAAGAGAAACCCCACTGACCAGTCCAGCAACGAAAACCAGACTCTAATGTCACATATAGCAAGGTAGCTATTTCTAAATGTTTGTTTGCCTTGCAAATCTCATGTCTGACTCATGGCTTTGAGGCACTACAAATACGAAAGGCACTGATATAAAACAAAATTCTGCTCCATTCTAAGTATAGTATAAATTCAGTGTTGCTGACAGACTGCCACTTTTCCAAAGCTGAGTATATTTATCACCCACCCACTCACAGGGCGTATAAAGTTAAATATTTATAATACAAATCACATTGTCCATAAGTTAAAATGTTCAAATGGATTCATTGGTGCTTGAGCAAACCACCAGAGCATTGAAATCTTGAATATGTGAATTCAAATGCTCTAATAGAAAGTAGGCCTCAGATTTTCCTGCCACTGTCCTATTCAAAGTCCATAAACATGATGTATTAACTACTCTCAGATATGTTCATAGTTCCCAGGAGGAGAAGAGATCTTTGCACTGCATAAATGCAAATAACCCCTGAAAATTTGGACACATGAGTAGTTGGCAAGGTGGATATTTTCTTACTACTTATCCATAACTGCAGTGCCACATTTTTTGCCATGCTTCTTGATTTGTTCCGTAGATGCTATTTCTGAAATTCCTTTTGAGCACATCAGGAGGGGAAAGAATTCCCATGATAGACAAAATCAACAAAGAGCCTTAGTATATTGCATGAGAAAGATAACTGAACATCCAGTCATAAAATAGGCAGGCAAGCAATGTATTCAAAGGAGGTCCTTTTTGGTGAGCTCAGATAAGGAATAATTATTGTAAACTCTTTAACTTGGAGCACACATTGTGATGAACTCTTGATGAGCAGATAAAGAGAAACTAGGTGATACTTGGGCCATAATGTGACAATGCAGTCATTGAAGCAAACACATCAGGAAGTGGCATGATCATTTGTGAACCATAAATACATTGTATAGAATGATGAGAAATAAAAGCTGATTAATTTTGTTTGCTTAACACATTTGAACTTGTGCAACCTCTTTTTTTATAGGGCACTGAAGAGCTAGAGGTTCGAATCCTTGTGCAGGCTCGACCAGGCCAAGATATCAGGTTTGTTAAAAATCCTCATTTTAAAACGGTGAATACCTCTTTAAAAATACAATTTACAATATATTTTCAAGATACTGTTTTCCCATAAAAAGCATGGATATTTAAAAAATATGACTGCCATAGAGAGACGCACTGTTCACTTGAAACCTGACCAATTTGTGCATGTCATTTTCAATGGTATTCTCTTTTTCTTTCCTTTCTTGTGTGCTATAATTTTCAGACCTATAGGACATGACATTAAAAGAGGTGAATGTGTGCTGGCTAAGGGAACCCACATGGGTCCATCAGAGATTGGTCTCTTAGCAACTGTTGGAGTCACAGAAGTAGAAGTTAATAAATTTCCAGTTGTCGCAGTCATGTCAACAGGGAATGAGGTAAGAAAAGTATCTTCTCTGTTTCTTTCTTCTGCAGGCACAGAAGTAGAATTTTGAATAGAAATTCCCATCTTAATTCCAAATGGACCTGTTTTAGAGGTACTAAGCTCCCACAACTCTCACTTTCTTCTGATGTAGTCAGAGATATTTGAATCTCTAACAAGAACATGGGCCATATCCATTGTCCATTCGCACTGCTCTAGTGAACTTAAAGAAAACTTTATTTTAGGGACTTCTCAGTAGGCATAGAATTGGCATTTCCAGTCTTGATCCAGTCAGTTGTCCTACTGCTCAGAAGGAGTGTTAGCAGTGGAGTCAGGTTTGTAGTGTACTCTGCCCACCCTAGCAAGAAGAGCAACTCCTTTTGAATCACTGTCCTCTGTAACTGTTCTGGAATAATGAGAGAACCTGATTGAGGACTGGCATTTTCTGAGGGGTGCCTTGAGTCTAAAGAAGTTGAGAACAACTGTGTTAGTCCATCGTAGGTTGCCGCATTTAAAATCTTTCTAAGTGAATAAACAATAGACCTTATTACTCCTGCATCAGCAGCCTTAGATTAACATCCTTGACTTTTCAGTAATCAGAATCACTTGATATATCCATCAACTTGATTAGTTACAAATTCAGAGCTTGTGTTTTGATTTATACTATGAGGTTGGTTTATATGATATGAGGAAAAGAAGTTTGCAGACGTGGATCTGTTGATTATGCCTACGCACAATTCAGTGCTGTGCAGAGATACCCAAGTTTGCTGAATGAGCTAGCTCTGCTATCAGAAGCTGTATACCTCCACGAGTGCAGAACTCCACCTAGTCTTAATAGCCCTGGTGAGATGCAGTATATATTAGCCTGGGCAGAGTTCCAAGCTCCATTCAAAGCCAGATCCTGTATCTCTAGCTGGCACCACATTATGCTATATAGACATACCCATCAAAACAATTGAAAAGGGAATCCTAGAAGAACTTACTTTTTGGCGTTACCCATGACTCAGCCATAAATCTTTTAGTTTTCCGCTGCTGATAGTCTCTAAACTCTCAGAATCTGCTTAGATCCGCATATGAAATAACTTACTTGCCATAAGTGCCTGTCAGTAGAAACATTATCCAATCTCAAGAGCTGGAAATTTCAAGTGCGCAAAAGTATTGAGGATACTGATGTATGTGGTTTTATAGCTGTTGAACCCTGAGGATGACCTCTTACCAGGAAAGATCCGAGACAGCAATCGTTCGACTCTCCTAGCTACAATCCAAGAACATGGCTACCCAACAATCAACTTGGGAATTGTGGGAGATAAGTAAGTACCACATGTTAATAAAGAGTGCCATCCGCTGTCATGTCATATGATGTACTTTAATACACCACCAGTGAGGAAAGGGAAAATCACAAAAGCTACATTCATAATGCAGCTCACCACAGATGCCAGAATTTTGTGGTTTTTCTTTTCTTTATAGAGTTTAACAAATCCATCCAAGCAAGAAGAGGAATAGTCTTGTGAGGATGTTTTTAATAAGTGGTGTTTATTAGGGCTGTGCAAAATTTTGGCAGCCATTTCATTTTGGATTCAAACGTTTCAATGGTCAAAACACCAAATCCAAAATGAAACACAGGGCTCCGAAACAGCTCTGAAACTGAACAGGCCATCTGAAATGTTTCAGAAATTTTTGGGTCCCCAGAAAATACAGGAGGACAGCAGGCTGCCGCTGCCAGCTGGTGATGGCGGTGGCTCTGGGCTATTTCTCCAGCCAGCAGCAGCAGCCTGCTGAAACCCCACATGCAGATCTGGGGCCCATGCCCCCTGGGAAGAGCTGGGGGAATGATCAGAGAGCTGGGGAATCAAACCAGGAGCTCTGGCTGACAGGTGGATCCGCCCCAGCTCCCAGGCAGCACATGCGCCCTGCCGAACCACGCTGCACCTGTGTGCTAGTGATGGGGGAGGGGCGGGGGTGGAGATCCCTGCTGCCCCCTGCTGCATGGTGAGACTCTGCCATGAGCCCTCAGAGGCCCCAAATGCCACTGCCAAATCCAATGAATGTATGGCTTTTTTTTTTTTTAAAGCTGCACACTCACCAGCATGCAGATGACAGCAGTGTCAAGAAGAACCCAGTGCTGGCGCTGGCCTCAGCCAGCAGGGGCAACCTGTTGTCATCCCACACACAGATCTGGGGGCCCGCACCCCCCAGGAGGGTTACAGGGCTGTACCAGACTCCTCCTGGGGGGAGCAGGCCCCCAGATCTGCATGCAGGATGACAGCATGCTGCCGCTGCCAGCAAGTGATACTAGGTTTGTTTTGAACAGTTTGAGTTTCCCAGAAACCCCTGCACCTATCTCCTTGAAACTTGGCAGGCTTCATGGCCTCAGAAGGGGCTAGTATCCCTGTAAGTTTCATCTGAGTCAGGCAAGAAATGATAAAGTTATAGGCAGTTTTGTGATTCTCTGTTACAGCCCATGGCCAAAACACCGTTGAAATTCTGAAACAGCTCTGTAACAGTTTCAGCCAAAATTAAATGGAACAGTGATTCGAAATACCAGAATGAATCACTGTGCCTCTAGAACACCAAATCCAAAACGGAACAAAACACAGCCGTTTTGGACAGCCCTATGAGACACTGAAATGAAACACTGTCCCTCCGAAATGCTGAATCCGAAACCAAAATGAAATGCAGGCGTTTTGCACAGCCCTAGTGTTTGTCTTGTTTAACATTATACCCATTGTTAGCAATTCTAATACTACTTCTGTTCCCTGCTGTATTTCCTGATGTCTCTTGAGAGAGGGTAATAGAAATGCCAGTGTTCCTGATCTTTAAAAGATGATGAAGATTTCTCTTTCAACAGCATATTTTCCATATTAAGATTAATTTAGAATGTAACTTGGTCAGTTTTTTGAGTCACTGTTTTCTTGGCAAATGTCACTCCTGACTGTTGGATATTGCTGAACGAGAATTGCACAAGTGTACCAAAGTATGTTAAAAGATTTTCACCATTATCGTTCATTGAGCTTTCTGACTGGACTGCTATAAAGCAGTAATATATGATCAAAACTTTCTTCTTCTGACAGTGATTTTATGGTGGTTCTAAGTAGGAATGAAGCTGAGTTCTGCTGCTTTTGAGAACACCAGATGAAATGATTGAAGTGCGTGGTCTTCTGTTCTTGACAAGGGGCTACAAACAGACATCATGTTTTTCAGACATTCATGTCCATTGGCCTGGCATAAATCCAAAAATGTTCACAGGATAAAAAGTACTAATAGTTTATCCCAGAACATCACAGAGTATGTCTGAATGGTTATCCCAGAAATGTATCAGTCAGCGAACGCAGAAAAACAGCAATGTGTTCAGCTACTTATTAAACCCTGATTAGAAGGGTGATGTGTGTACACCCCAATCCCTGATATTTCTGTTCTGAAGCAAACTCTGGCACAACTTGTCCAGGGACAGATGTAACTTCTGTTCCTAACCAAGCTTGTGGTTCATTGTATATTTCGGCAGTAGTCCTATGAAGCCAATTTCCAAATTATTCCAAATCTTAAATCTTTGGTCTAAGTCACTTGATTTTGTAGCTGCTGTGGCTGGAATTTCAAATGTGTTAACTCCTTAGAACCACCAGTAAGGATTCTACTTTTCAGGAAGATGAGGTACTGTCTCACTTGGAAAAACTAGAACACAAAATGGGAGTAACATGAATTCCTTAAGATACCCTTTGATAGATGTAACCCTGTGTGCAATGCTACCCATGCCCTCACCTGAATAGTGGGATCCTGGGATACCCAGTAGCCGGTGGCCATGCTCAGCTCCCTGAATAGCTGCTACAGGGTCCCTGAGTGGAGCACCTCCCCTGACAATCAAAACAACCTTGCAGACCATTTTAAACTACTTACAGAATTTAATTATTTACAAGATAACACATAACTAATACAATAACACAAAAATGTTATACAACATAACCCAGCAATGGTAGCTTAAGGGTTCATGCTTCTCAGATACACATTACACCAGGGCAAGGCATACAAATTACCCACGATAAATTAAAAACAAATAAATAAATACATACACCAACTAATAAACCATCAAGAACCTATTTATACACTCAGTCTATAACTTGTATACTCCAGGGTAACTATGAGGACCCTGTGTAAACAGCCACTCAGCTTGGTTTCTCAGGGAGCAGGGCTGCTTCTGTGTCCCTGGCACAGGAGCTGTGGGCGGGTCCCTGCTGCTGGCATTTCTCTCACATGCTCCAGGGGTCTCAGGGCAGCAGGTGGTGGCTCCTCTCCTGTGATCCCTGCAAGATGGCTTATTCCTGCCTCAACCCCTATCTCCTGGCACGGCGGGGAGCAGTGTCTGGGCTGCAGGTTGTAGCAGTTCCCCTGCCTAGCACAGCCTCACCCCACCTGGCAAATGCAGCCCCTCCCTGGGTTCTGCCTTCCCCCAGGTCTTCTGGTGGGCTGGAATAGTCCCCTGCCACCTCTAGCCCAGTGCTCCCTCTGGCACACTCAGCCTGCCCCTCCTCGAGTGCTTTCGCACTCATGGAACAAATCAGGGCAGTCTCCCCCTGGTCCTGCATCCCCCTCCCCTCCTCTGCTCACCCACACCACACAGGGGCTTGTAGGAGGGTCTCCCCAGGCTCGGGGTCTCCTGACAAGCAGGTCCTCTTTTGTGCTTGCCCCAGCAGGGCTCCAAGGGGGATAAGAGAAAGAAAGGATACACTGTGTCTCTCTGGTGCAGCCTCTCCACTACCCCTGCAGGGCTCCAACAGGGGCTGTCTGACAGACGGCTGTAGTGAGGTCCTTTTCCTGGCCTCCAGCCTGTCTCTCTTCCCCTGTTGTTCTCCTCTCCACAGAAAAACTGCTCCCCTCTTTTAAACAAGCCCTCTCAGCAAATCCCAGGCCATGACTCTTCCCTGGCTTTTGCTAACGTCCCTCTCATTCAAACCCCTGCTGGGGTTCCATCACTCCTACCACTTCAAAGATGGCTGTCTCCAAAGCAGCTTTACTCACCCTCAGGGCAAACAGTGTCCCTACTGGGGCAAACTCTCTCTCTTCACACTGTCCCTCTGCAAGGCAGCCCTTCCTATCCCTTCAGATGAGTACAATGTTAATGTTGCTATACAGTTGTGCCTCAGTTCATAAATGGTATTAACTCTGGAGAACAACAATATCAGGTAGACAGGTGATCCTGGCCTGTGATGTTATACACCAGCAATCCTCAACTGGGGATCTGTGACCCCCTGGAGGGGTGCAAGTAGGTTTCAAGGGGTCCGTAGGGACTGTGGATCTGGTGAAGTCATGAACTCCTTGGTCAGCTGGAGCAGCCAATGCCCAAGCTGAGCCCACTATCACTGCCACCGCCAGGTTTACAGAAAAACATAGATTTTCTCCTTTAAAGGAGAAAAACATGGGTTTCCCCTTGCAGGCAGACAGTGTTCCAGCCTGCAAGGGACTTTCGGGAGCAGAAGGAGGCCGATACAGCAGGGGACACCACATGCATGTGTCTGCACACACACATGCACATGACAGCCAGGCAGCAGTGGAAAGCAGCTCCCACAGCTCCCTACAGGTAATTGGGGGGGGGAGGGATAGGCAGTGGGGGGGCATATGCTCCACCCCCCACCCCCAATTTCTGTACCTACAGCTGTTATGGGGCTGCAGCCTGACTGGGCCAGCCAGTGGGACCTGCCATGAGAGGGCAGAGCTGGGTTGCAAGACTTATTACTGCCACTGCCAGGACCCCCACACCAGTTGCACTACCAGCAGCAGGAGAGAGAAAACGACTAGTGGGGGTTGCGCTGCCCTCACCTCCTCCCACTGCTGGAGGGGACGTGGGATGGACAGCAGCGTGAGCTGCCTAAGGGGAGCAGTGACAGCTGGGCTATACCCTTGCCCCCTGCCCCACTCCCCCACAAGAGTCAGGAGTGAGGGACACCATCAGGTCTGGCGGGGTGAGGAGCTGTGGGTTGGGAGTGAGGGGTACTGGCAGGCACAGGGGGCTGTAATCAAGAGTGCTGCAGGTCAGGAATGAGGAGGGCCTTGAGTCCAAAAAGATTGAGAACCACTGTTATACACTATCTTCTGTGCACAAAAAAAATACTTCACTCTAAAAACTCTGGCTGTTTCATGACCTCATACTCTTCCTAGTTCTATTAGTGTTTTGAGTCTCCCTATTGCCTTGAAAATCAAGCCACTTCAGCAGGGATAGACCAATATTCAGTGTAGTGAAGTTATTTGCCTTTAAACGGGTGGGAGGACTTATCTGATCCCAAAAGCATATTCTGTGTGGAATAGCACCAGGACAGTGACC